GACACCAAAAAGCATGAAAAAATATTGTTTTGCCACATGAAATATTAATTTTAATACACACAAACTGAAGAAGACATGCACAGTTACATGACACTTACCTTTGTGGTATACAATACCGACAGGATGGACTGATTACATCGTCTTCACATCTCTACTGCTCCTGCCTACTTTCTGTACTCGACTGAAGAACCCAATGTGTAGGCGAAAAGTTTCGGAATAAAGTTGCTTAAGTGTTGCCTGTGTGTCTTAACAACCACACTTGACTCACGAAATCGTAATGACACGATTGCAAACAAACCATACCCCGGCCGGGATTGAACCCGCGGTCAGAGAGTCTCAAAACTCCAGACCGTCGCGTTAGCCACTAGACCAGCTAGCCACACTTGCCTTTATTGAAGATCTGGTGATGATTGATGGGATGGGAGGAGGGGAGAGTGTGGATGGTGTTAGTGTTTAGAAGAGGAATCCCCTTCCATTAGGACTTGAGGTAGCAAGTCCTTTTCTGGGGTTACTTCCCTTCTTCTTTTAATGCCACTAGGACCAGCTTGAGAGTCACTGGACCTCTGTCACACAACAAATCTGTTCATAGAGCTCTGTACCTCCCGTTCCTTTACAATTTGTCTAAAATGGGCCACAACATTGTCGTTGTAATAGTCACCAGCACGGCTTGCAATAGCTGTGTTAGGGTGATTTTCATTCATAAAGGTTTGCACTTCAACCCACTGTGCACACATTTCCTTAATTTTTGAAGTAGGCACAATGGATTCCACAACTGGCATAGGCTTCTCAGGGTTAGCCCCAAACCCTTCAAAATCTTTTTTAATTTCCATACTAATTCTCACTAGAAGCTTTCTTGAGGCCCATGGTGACTTATTTTGCAGAAACAAGCACCAAAAACAGTGATAATATGGATAATATGGAATGTACTGAATGTATCCTTAGATGCGCGCACACTGGCTGGCTTGTAAACACGGCACATAAGGGGCAGTTCAGGCCACACGTGGACAAGTCTCGTACAAATCGTATCGAATACCGGGTTTTCAAGTGGATACGGAGGCAAAATTTTTGCGTTAAAATGCATCGAATACCGGATTTATCGAATACCGATGCCATCGAATACCGGGGGTCCACTGTATTCTCATTTTTTCGGTCTCATTTGATATAATGAAAGATATATTACAGAAATAGATATGATTTTGATTGCTTTCATGACAAAAACTACCTTGAAATTGCGCTCAAAGTAGTGAAAATGTTCTATTCTTTAGCGAAGCTCAAGAGTAAACAAATGACGTCACCGTCCAATACCTGTCCGCCTGCCAGTCCAAATTCCAGTATGGAGTCAAGAATGGATTGACATTATTTATACAATTATTACAATAATGCAGTAGTCTGCATAACAGTAAATCTTTTATTTTTGTTTTTTGTGAATAAAAATTCCAAATGGTAAGCAAGAGTAATATAAGAGGGGCCTGTAGCCGTGCCTAATGAACAGAGAAAATGTTATTTTAGTGCCAGGAATGTCTGCATTGTTTATTCTGGACCCTATTTTGAAATTGGCATCTGTTGAAATTTGTGTGAAATCGGCCAAATTGCCAATTTCTGACCACTTTATTGGGTAGTTGAAATAAGTGAATGGGCGGTTTCTTGTACTCAGTTGACAGACTAGAAGTAAATAAGTTTATTCAGGTATACACAAATACAGTTATATAGATTATCATACATAGCAGTGTATGTATAGAGAACCTAGGATAACCCAGAAAAGTCAGACAAAGTGACTTATTTCCAGTACCTGGCTTGGGCTTGCCATATATGATTTTTGGTAAATATTTTTTTTTCTCGGTTGTTTGTTGGGCTATCTCATTGAAACTTGGGCAATGTATGATGGAAAGATGCTTCTTAACGTACAACAAAAATAAAAAAGACGGACGATAAATAAGGGAGTTGACTTCTCAGCCATTAGCTGCCTCTTTGAGTATATTTTCGTATGGTTTTTATGGTTGTATTCTCATTTTTTGGACTCATTTGATAGAATGGAAGATATATTACAGAAATAGACATGATTTTGATTGCTTTCATGATGAAAAGTACCTTGAAATTGAGCGGAAGTGTTCGATTTTTGCCGATGTTCAATGAACTGTTTAAGTCTAGTTGGTTAATTTTATTAAGTGTATTCTAGCTTTACCACTCTGTAATTCGGCACACTACAGGTCCCAATGATGCCAGATTTGTGATGGAGGACCTGTATTATATGCAGTGAGCATTGAAATGTCCATGAGATGGAAGAAAAGTTTCATTCAACCAAACACATGTTTTGTGTATAATCAATCACTGTTACTGGTTTTAGAATACATTCATTAGTCAGTCTATCAACTTTGCCACTGTCTTTCATTTCATTAGGGTGAATGGTTGTCAACAATGTGACATCTCGTTTGTCATGCCACCGTAATGCTATGATGTTATTGGCAGCAAACACCTGCACCTCACCACCATGATTGCCTGCGTTGAACCTGGGCACATGTTTATAATTAGAATGCACTGTGCCACACACATCTGTCATGTTCACTTGCAAGAAATCACTGAGTAAAGGGCTTGTGTACCAGTTATCAGTATACAAAGTATGTCCCTTACCAAGATAAAGTGCCATCATGTTTCTCACTACATCACCTGAGATACCCAGTAACATCCTGGTATCTTTCAATGTTATACTTCCCATGTATACAATTATATTCAATACCAGGCACTCTCACAGTCACAGAGTACAGTTTTATACCAAAGTGTTTCCTCTTGTTCGGCATATACTGCTTGAACGACAGCCTACCTTTGAGCAAAATCAAAGACTCGTCTGTTACAAGATTCCTGAATGGATAAAAGTACATGTTGAACTTTTGTTTTAGATGCATAAAAACATTTCTAATCTTGTATAACCTGTCATTTCTGTCAGGCCTGGTTTTGTCAGAGAAGTGCAACATACATAACAGTAAGATAAACCTGTTCACTGGGATGATTTCACTGAAGGCCGGGGTACAAATTAGCCAATCTGTGGACCAGTATGATTTTATATTATGCTTATAGACATGAGGCACAAGCATTATTGTTGCAAAAAGCAAATACATTTCAGCCACAGTTGTTTCTTTCCACAGGTGTAGTCTTGACTGTGGTGATATGATTGTATTTGCTATGGTGTACTCAAAATACGTAGTTGCTTTCCCTGACAATAATTTCCATCAAGGGCTGGTCAAAGAATAGTTCAAAGAATTCCAGTTCATTTGCAGTGTTTCCAAGGGAACACGCTGGTAGGATTCCACTTTGAGAGTCATCAAACTGATGGAGATTGGGAACAAAATTTGGATTTTGTTGACAATCCCAGATGTGGTTTGCTGGTGGATACTGAACATTAGTTGGTTGTGGATGATCCTCCACTTTGTCCTGGATCTGATGAGTCAGCAGCATGGGTCCCAGCCTGGGCTGGTGAGTCATGCATAGCCGTGGCACTACCACCACCACTACCGCTATCACCACCATTACCACCACCTACTGACGCCCGTGGTCTATCTATGCCAAGTGTAGCCACATCATCCTCACTTTCACTGTCTATTCCTAGTGTAGGGCCACGGGATGTACTCCATCCCCTTGGCACTGCATATGGAACACTACCCGAGCTCATGCAGCGGCGTATATACTGATGCTTCACTAGTGAATATGATTCCTCACTATCACTACTCGAATGGTCATCAAGAGCAATAAAATCAAAACCCACATGACTATCATCACTGACACTCAAGTCTGAGGCTTGGCCACGTGAAAATATTAGTTTTCTCTTGCGACATGGTACATCTGAATGTGACTGAGACGTGGCAACACCAGAGGTAGAAGGTTGAGGACCATCAGGATTTTTCACACTATTTTCGATATCTTGGTCATTACTTTCAGTCACTAATCGATCAAAACCATAGAATTCCTCTTCATTTCCATTTCCATCTGAGTCAGAACCATCAGTTAGGAAGAGGAGAGTCCCAATTTGCCTTGGAGTGAGAGCTGCCTTGCTGCAAGGCATGGTGAACAAAGTTTACTGAGGCAGCATTCCCACAATGCCATGTGGGTACCTAGAATTTTTGTTTATGATGCACACACACCATGCAGACCCCATTCTCTTAGATGTAGGCCTACCAGCCTTCTCACGCTAAATTTGAGGCCTCTAGAATTTTGGCATAGTACTACGATTTGGACCCACAACTCAAAGCCGTATGGCTATGGCACGGACCCTGAAAGGGTTAAGCAGTGTTTAAATTAATTTATACACCCCATCAATGTGTAATATGCCAATAACAACAGGATTTTTTTTCATGGGAATGGATTAATTGTTTTCCCTTCATTTCTTATGGGAAAATTTGTTTGGTATATCCTGTTTGGTATAAGTCCAAGGTCCTGGAATAGATTAAGGACTGTAATAATGTTGGTAGAATTACCGACAATATGTAAAGTAAAAGGACACAAGTGCAACTAATGTGACATTTATTGTGGCAACGTTTCGCTCTCCAGGAGTTTTGTCAAGCCGATACATATCGGCTTGACAAAGCTCCTGGAGAGCGAAACGTTGCCACAATAAAATGTCACATTAGTTGCACTTGTGTCCTTTTACTTTACATAGATTAAGGACGTATACTGAGGTACCGCTGTATTCTTATTCTCATATCACTGTAATCATAAATTAGTTTTAAGACAGCCCGAAATACTTTGCATAAGAAGGGGCTTTCTATAAAGTAATTATGCATGTCAATCACCTTAAATGCATATTCCACTTTATAGAAATAAAGTTTTTTTTTGTTTTTGTTTAATCTGTGAGACCTCAAAATATACTCCTTGTTTTTTGCATGAGGTTACGCAAAAAAGAAAAAAAACTGATTATTTGAGAGATAGTATTCTTCTTGTCTTATGGTTGATGACAAATTATGGCCCATAATATAAGTTATATTGAAAAAGTGTTGCAAATGTGTACTTAC